AAAAAAAAAAAAAGCCTGTCAACTGTAGGGGCAGAAAGGAATGATACCTTTCCTCATCTGTTGCAAGAGTTGTGGAGGACACTCCAATGAAAGACAGGTTAACAGAAAAGATTAATGAATTTATTTAAGGTTTTATGTGACACAGGAGCCTTTAGAAATACTCAAAGACCTAGGGAAAACTGTCCAATTTTGTGCTTGTTTGATGAAGAATGGACAGCTTGTGGAACTATGATTGGACAAAAAGGCTATGATATGATAGGAGTAGACTAGGGGGGAAACCCAGCAAGGCCTGTCCAGATTTCTCTTGGTCTCCGTATGTAGCAGTCTTTCTTCCCAGGTATAGGGTCTCCAGAATGAGGGTCTTATGACCTACTCTCAGATGAGGTAGGTCAGATGATTTTTTTTTTAAGAGTAATACTTTCTTAGCTTTTAATACTGATTTGGGATAGAAGGACTCTAGTTATTATCTCTTCCTTGGGGGAAGAGAAATTCTAGTTTCTACGGCTTGCGTTGGGGGACAAGGAAAAGCAGGAAACAGGAGGGCAAGATAAGCTTTTGAGGCTGCTGCTAAAGCCTTCCAATCTCCTTTAGTTCAAAGTACGCAGCATGCCGAAGTGCCATATTTTGGGATATTGCTTTCTGAGCCCTAACACAGTCATTCCTTTTGTTACTCCTTTTATCTGGCATTAACAGTACAGTAAATCTGTAAAACTCTTCTTCCACTCAACCAACCAACAAGCATTGGCAAAGAATACAGATCATTAAATTTATTGTCTTCTAGCCGGGCTCCATGGCTCAGGCAGTAATCCCACACTTTGGGAAGCTGAGATGAGTGAATTGCCTGAGCCTGCGGGTTCGAGACCCACCTCAGCAACTTGGTGAGACCTCATCTCTATAATAAATCAAAAACTAGCCGGGCATGGTAGTGTGTGCCTCAGCTACTTGGAAGGCTGAGGCAGAAGGATCGCCGGAGCCCAGCAGGTTGAGGCTGCGGTGGCCGGGAGCGGCCACCGCACTCCAGTCTGGGCGACAGAGTGAGACTCTAACTCAAAAAAAAAAATTTATTGTCTTCTGTTTTCTTTCAACAGTTCCATAAACTGGCACCCATCCACAATATTTGCAAGTATATTGTGAGCAAATTTTTAAAGTTTTATATTGAGATTTAATACATATATCATTTAAAGGATACAATTCAGTGGTGTTTAGTATATTCACAGTTGTGCAAATCTTATATTCACAGAGTTGTGCAAATCTCATCTTAATCAATTTCAGAACATTTTTACCACTCAGAAAGAACACAGTACCCATTAATAGTTACTTCCCCTTTTCCCCCAATCCTTTCGCCCCCAGCTTTACTACTAATCTACTTTGTGTTCCTATAGATTTGCCTATTCTAGACATATCATTAATATGGAATTATGCCATATGTAGTCTTTTACGACTGATTGCCTTCTCTTAACACAATGTTTTCAAGGTTTATGCATATTGTAGCATACTTCAGTACTTTATTCCTTTTTATTGCTGAATAATATTCATTATATGAATATAGCACATTTTATTTTTATCCATTCATCAGTTGGTGGACATTTGGGTTGTTTCCATTTTCTGGCTATTATGAATAGTGTTGCTATAAACATCTGTATACAAGTTTTTGTGGGGATCTATGTTCTCATTTCTTTTGGATTTATGCTAGAAATGGAGTTGCTGGGTCATATGGTAACTCTATGTTTAAACATTTGAAGTACCAGGCTGTTTTTCTTTTCTTTTTTTATTTTTTTTTTTTTGAGTTGGAGTCTCACTCTGTCGCCCAGACTGGAGTGCAGTGGCATGCTCCCAGCCACCACAGCCTCAACCTGCTGGGCTCCAGCGATCCTTCCACCTCAGCCTTCCAAGTAGCCGGAATTACAGGCATGCACTACCACGCCCGGCTGATTTTTTCATTTATTGTAGAGATGAGGTCTCGCCGCCCAGGCGGATCTCGAACCCGCGGGCTCAGGCAATCCACTCACCTCAGCCTCCCAAAGGCGCAGGATTACAGGTTGAGCCACCGAGCCTGGCTGCCTCTGTTTTTTAAGGACACTTGCAATTGGATTTAGGGTTCACCTGGATAATCCAGAATTATCTCCCCAATTTAAGCTCCTTAATTTAATCACATTTGCAAAGATTTCTTCTTCTTAAAAGGTAACATTTCCAGGTTCTAGGTTCTAAGGATTAGGACCTAGTATCTTTGGATGGCCATTGTTCAGCCTACTACCAATCCTATTATAAATGGAATTGTGTTTTAATTTCACTTTTTGATTATTCATTGCTAGTGTGTAAAAATCCAATTGACTTTTTTGTTTGTTTGTTTGTTTTTTGAGTTGGAGTCTCACTCTGTCACTCAGGCTGGAGTGCCATGGTACACTCACGGCCACTCCATCGTCGTCCTGCTGGGCTCCAGCAGTCCTTCCGCCTCAGCCTTCCAAGTAGCCGGAACTACAGGCGTGCGCTACCGTGCCTGGCTAATTTTTCATCTATTGTAGAGACGAGGTCTCATCAAGTTACCCGGGCTGGTCTCCAACCCACAGGCTCAGGCAATCCACTTGGCTCAGCCTGCCAAAGTGCTGGGATTACAGGCTGACCCACTGAGCCCAGCCTGATTTTTTTTTTAAGACAAATTCTTGGTCTCTCTCCCACCCAGGCTGGGGTGCAGTGATACAATCATAGCTCGCTATAATCTCAAACCCCTGGGCTCAAGTAATTCTCCCACCTCAGCCTCCTGAGTAGTTGGGACTATAGGCACATTCTGCTACATCCAGCTAATTTTTTTTTTTTTTTTTTTTTGGTAGAGACAGGGTCTTGCTATGTTGTTTAGGCTGGTCTCCCTCTTCGGTCTCCCAAACTTTGGCATTAACTATCTTAACTGGCCACTCCAATTAATTTTCGTATGTTAATCAAATACCCTGCAACCTTGGCTGAATTCATTTATTGTTCTAATCATGTTTTAGTGTATTCCTTAGAATTTTCTATATATAAGATCACGGCATCTACAAATAGTTTTATTTGCTTCTTTCCAATTTGGATGCATTTTATAGCACTTCCTTGCCTAATTGCCCAGTTTCCAATACAGTGTTGAACAGAAGTGGCAAGAGTGAACACCCTGACTTCCTATTCCTGATCTTAGGGGGAAAACATTAACTCTTTCACCATTAAGTATTCTGTTAGCTGTGGGGATTCAGTAAATGCCCTTTATCAGGCTGAGGAAGTTCCCTTCTCTTCCTAATTTAAGTGTTTTTATCCTGAAAGGGTGCTGGATTTTGTCAAATGCCTTTTCTGTCTATTGAGATGATCATCTGATTTTGGTTCTTGATTCTGTTGATGCAGTGTTACATTAATTGATATTCAAATGTTATACCAGCCTTGCATTCCTAGTATAAATCCTATCCTAGT